CATTTTACGCTTTTAAACTCATTCGATTGATCGAAAATTTCAAGATCAGTAGTGATTTTTTTCTATTTCTTCATTTTATATAATGAGTGATTATGGTTTTCCGCCGCTTGGGCTTCACACATTGTACCCATGTCGGGAATCGAACCCGGATCTTCGGCGGGACTAGCAAAGGCTTTAACCACTAGGCTACCCGACCGCTGTGTTCTACAAACTGAGTAATGGTGAATAGAATCAACATGGCCAACAGTTTGATGCGGTGATAATACTGATAGGATTTGGTGGCAAACTTTGTGGGTTTGGAATGAATGGTATTTTGATAGCAATTAAGAATTATCTATCAGTATCTTTCAGTGTTCAGTGTGTGACCCCATTATATAAAAGTTCAAGGCTTCCCAAAACAATGTGATTGTTTTTATTAGTAGCGTCTCGATTCGGAAACCAGTGGGGATCCCGGGTTAGAATTGGTCCCCAGCAATCTATGCTGGTGGTACGAGGCGACTAAGTGGATCGGCTGGTCCGCCTCGATGATAGGTTGATGGCGTGTCTACGTAACCCGGCGGCGTTGTTCACAATATCGATCACTCGATTTTCTGGTCCAGATCGATAATTTACAGGCCGTTGTCATATAGCTGGAATAGTCCTGATTGCGGTGTTAAGCAACAAAAAACGAAACAAATACTTTATATTCGAGTAAACTTGCAGCTCATCCAACTTTTTGTATTAACATTAGATGTCCACAGACATTTAGCTGGCAGATTCAGTGATAACAATCTTCGTTGGAGAACATAAGTCACAAATCTTCGTTTCTATTTAATAAATAAATAACTTTGTATATCCATCCTTTAATTTAAAATGTTGTCCAATTCATTCTAAATGTATCATCCAAACGCTATTGACTAATTAGAAAATGAGGAATTACGGTATTGTGTTACTGCATCTGTAACGATGCTTTGTTCTGAGCGGTTTTTGTTTGTTTTGGTAACACATAATATGATGTATTCTCTGCAGACAACAAACATTGATTAAGGGAAAAAATATTTTAGTAGAAAATCCAAGTGTCAGCTTATCATAATCTTTGGTTTGAAAGGTAACTGTATATATATTTGTCCTTTCATTTAATTGTTCTGAGCGGTTTTTTTGTTTTGGTAACACATAATATGATGTATTCTCTGCAGACAACAAATATTGATTAAGGGAAAAAATATTTTAGTAGAAAATCCAAGTGTCAGCTTATCATATTCTTTGGTTTGAAAGGTAACTGTATATATATTTTTCCTTTCATTTATTTGTTTCCTTGGCAAGCAGTCAGAATTCTTTGTCTTGTGACACGGCGTGGTTGGATTTCCAGGCCAATGTTCGGTGAATGGTAGACTTAATATAACATCAAAGCATCCCCTTGTCTCCATCAAAAGGGAACAGAGCGTCAAAACAACATGGAGAAGACACATGAATAGTAACCTTCTTTCGCGACTCACTGTCAACTTACAATGACATCAGGCGCGCGGAAACGGGTGAGCACGTCCTGCCATTACTGTGAATCCCGTGGTTAATAAAGGTCAAGGTCCCTTCGCCCAGGATGTTTCTTGACATCAAAGTTGAGAAAAGAGTTTTTTTCTGAAGTAACTTTAGTTTTATAGTCCCGGTATGAAATGTATTTTGGAAACCCAGCCGACTACTTCTTCTGATATTAGTAAATAGCCTGAAGAACATATTTTGTCACCGGTATTTCCTCCGGATCCATTGTGTGGAAGTTCACAGGGCAGCGATATTACAGTCACCTATCGATCTAAACATTTATCTGTTACTTTTGGATAGTTAATATGCTGATAACTATGCATAGCTGGAGCTGATTTTAAACTACATGTATTATGATATACCAGTCAGTCTATTTATGGATGTCTGCATTACTTTGCAGAGTAGTGTGACGTAGCTATTGGTTTAGAGCAGTGTGACGTAGCTAGTGGTTTAGAGCAGTGTGACGTAGCTAGTGGTTTAGAGCAGTGTGACGTAGCTATTGGTTTAGAGCAGTGTGCCGTAGCTAGTGGTTTAGAGCAGTGTGACGTAGCTATTGGTTTAGAGCAGTGTGACGTAGCTAGTGGTTTAGAGCAGTGTGACGTAGCTAGTGGTTTAGAGCAGTGTGACGTAGCTAGTGGTTTACAGCAGTGGGACGTAGCCAGTGGTTTAGAGCAGTGTGACGTATCTAGTGGTTTAGAGCAGTGTGACGTATCTAGTGGTTTAGAGCCGTCGGAATTCGCTGTTCAGACTTTCGCCCCCTAGTCGTGCCATGATCGGCAACGCCTGGGCATAACTTGAGTATAAAACACACCGTACTTAGTCAATTCCACTGGTTGTTCAGTAAATGTGTTTGAAAGGGAGAATTATCAGAACTTGGCCCAGATATGCATAGTAGGATAATGTACTTGGTATTGATTAAACTGTCAACAATGAAGTAAATACTAAGTGAATCCTTCGAAGTTTTCCCTGTAGGGGTATTCCACGTTATTACTCAAGAGAAATACAAAGCTCTTAAATTATTCTTGAATTACTTGAAAATGGACACATTCTCCTTGAACATGTTGAATATATGCGAAGATCTCGCAAAAAGTACATATCGCAGACCCGTAGGAACAGTGCATGTGTGTGACTGTGTGTGACTGATTCAGTCTATCGAGATACACTACTAACCACACTAACAGACAGTCTACTGGGAAACACATACTGAGACAGTCTACTGGGAAACACTACTGAGACAGTCTACTGGGAAACACTACTGAGACAGTCTACTGGAAAACACTACTGAGGCAGTCTACTGGGAAACACTACTGAGACAGTCTACTGGAAAACACTACTGAGGCAGTCTACTAGGAAACACTACTGAGACAGTCTACTGGAAAACACTACTGAGACAGTCTACTGGAAAACACTACTGATGCAGTCTACTGGAAAACACTACTGAGGCAGTATACTGGGAAACACTACTGAGGCAGTCTACTGGGAAACACTACTGAGACAGTCTACTGGAAAACACTACTGAGGCAGTCTACTGGAAAACACTACTGAGGCAGTCTAGTGTAACCCAATACTTATACAGAATATCACTGAAACATCAATACTTTAGTAATAACAGTAGTTGGTGGTATAAATATCCGTCGGATAATGACACCAGGTACCAGGTAGAGAACGGTGTAATGGTTGCGCGATGTTCTGTGTCCCGTGGTTTAATCGACATCTTCAGCCTGTCATTATAAAATGCCATCGCTTTATGGACAAAGTCTGTCTAAATTTGGCTTTTGTCTTCTATACACCAGACTGGCACATTCCAGCCACGACCATATTGCTGAAAGTCTCCTCTATCCTGGCACGCCACGTACTCATGTGGTAGACAGTATCATCGATGTCTCTAAATCGTTATCAAGTTCCCTTATTGGTTTTATTGTCTGCAGTCAAACATATCTCCTTATTCCTGGATGTTTTCTTCAAACATACCCTCAAACGTCTGCGTTGGGTCAGCTATCGTGATAAATAGACAACCTCTGTGTCCCCACGCTGTCTAGTATCGCATTGATTTCTGAAATTAGGTTATCTCATTATTTCAGCAGGCATTTATTTTGTAAACACGGAAAGCCTTGGTGTTAGTGCATTGAATGTGGAAGGTTGAATTTAGGCCAATCCAGGATCGGAGTGGGGGAACACCATCTTGTCTTCCAAAACCTGAACGGGTTTTCGTTTTCAAACTGGAATCAGTCAAAGTCCACTTTGGATAAAAATAAGGATACCTACTTGGAGATAAGCGAACAAGGGAACGAACAAGGGAACAAATACCATCAATGTTTCGTTTGTGTGTTTGTTGTTTAACGATGCACTCAGAAATATTCCAACTATATGACGATATCGAGTCTGGACCAGACAATTCAGCGATTCACATCATGAGCATCGATCTACGCATTTGGGATAACATGATTTGCATCAACCAAGTCAGCGAGCCTGACCACCCGATCCCGTTAGTCGCCTCTTACGACAAGAATAATCGCCTCTCAAGGTTTTGTATAACTATTGTATAACAGCTGACAATAAACGATGAACATAATGTTAAACATGTTAACTACAGTTTTGTTCTATATATTTTACGGTTGACTAAGAAATGATTTGTTTAATTATCTGCGTTTTGCACATAAGATAAAAACAGGACTAACTTTGATTTTTTTTTTAGAGAACACCAAACGAGTTAAAATATTTGTGCAAATACTGTTCTTTTTACACATACCTGGATGGCTTTTCTAAAAAATTGTATAGAAAACAATGTTTGTTTCCTTGTCATAGGTAACTATACTGCTTCGCATTAAAATCAAATGTAACGTCACTATGAAGGACTGACGTCATTTTCAGTTACGACAATATGCGACATTACTATGATTTGTTTGTTTGTAGTTTAACGCCGCACTCAGCAATATTCCAGGGATTGACAACATGAGCATCGATCAACGCAATTGGGATACGATGACATGCATCAACCAAGTCAGCGAGCCTGACCACTCGTTCCCGTTAGTCGCCTCTTATGACAAGCATAGTCGTCTTTTACGGCAAGCATGGGTTGCTGAAGACCTATTCTACCCCTATTCTCGGCAAGCCTTATAGTTTTAAACCTTTATCGACTTGTGTGAGTATATCTGATATCAAACGACACTTGGGTGAAGTTCCTTATTTATTCTATACCCCGTAGATAAGTTAAAATTGAGCCTATGCCTGTTTATGTGGTGTTATTTTCACCAGTGAAAATACAAGCGTAAATAATGTTTTAAAACTGCCCTTAAAAAAGCTGTAATTTTACTTACAGCATAAAACAGCTTCCTCTTATACTGTATTTGTTCTGTTTTTACTAGTTTCTGGTCGCACTCGCGCTAGACCTTCCTAGATGGTAGGTACTAAAATAACTTAACGGAGGATGTACACTGCCACTGTGACTTTAATTGTGGGCGATACGAGTATAAGACATTGTGATACAATAAATGCTCCCCGGGAGCGGAAGTTCTGCACTACGCATGATCCAAGTCAGCGCCCCCTTTCTGCTGTAAACACGTCAAGAGCATAAACATGGGTAAGTGGCGATATGTGTTAAACAAAATCAGTAACACTATTGCAACATTATCTAGGTTTTATATATTTGCTAGAAATGGATTGAGTAGATGTTGTTTAAATGCTTCTCTCGTGCAGTGGAGTAAAATATCATAACGTGTTGAACTGAATAGAAGCTTATCGCCATGCCTTTGGGTGTGAATGTTTCATCGAAGTGTAAAGGGTGCACACCTAATGTTCATCACAGTATGGGATCTTCTCTGAATGGCCATGTCTTTGCCAAACCCTGTAGGACATTCCCTGTTCAGAAAATGTGACCTGGTCGTGCCTTGGACACATCGACCGGTGTCGTGACGTGGACATTGTATGGAGTTATCTCCCTTCAATACCGGGATGCAGCTAGGTTTATCCGATTGTACATTCCATTAATGCTTCATGAACGTTTTCTGCTTAAGTCATGCATGTAATACAGTGACATATATGAAGTTTGAAAGAACAGCGAATATCGATCGTGGAAACTTTAAGAATTTGTTCATCGTAATGATTTTAGTAACGCTTCAATATGAACGCGTGTTCTACAAACTGAGTGAGTATGGTTTTACGCCGCTTTTAGCAATATTCCAGCAATATCACAGCGGGGGACACCAGAAATGGGCTTCACATTGTACCCATGTTGGGAATCAAATCCGGGTCTTTGGCGTGACGAGGGAACGCTTTAACCACTAGGCTACCCGACCGCTTCGCTCTACAAACTGACTAATGGTGATTAGAATCAACATGGCCAACAGTTTGATGTAGTGATAATACTGATAGGATTTGGTGGCAAACATGGTGTGGTTATGGAATGAATGGTATTTTGATAGCAATTAAGAATTATCTATCAGTATCTTTCAGTGTTCAGTGTGTGACCAAAGTTGGTCAGTGCCAGTGGTCCAAAGGACCATCCCGGTAAAATCTCAAAGGGGTCTTTGTCATATGTGGTAGTACATAAACCCCCATGGTGCTTTTTGTATACAGAAATTTACCTAAGGTAGCACTTGGTATACAGAAATCTACCTAAGGTAGCACTCAGTATTCAGAAATCTACCTAAGGTAGCACTCAGTATTCAGAAATCTACCTAAGGTAGCACTCAGTATTCAGAAATCTACCCTACCACTCAGTGCTAACAAGTGGCCGAGTCAAACCCCCGTTGAGAAACTGGTTTACCATCAACATGATCAATAACAGGAGGAACCAATGTTCACGAATCGGGAAAATACAGATTGGTAAGCCGGTTTTATGCCAAACGGAATAGACTCGCCCACGGGGTTGGCACCGAGGGATTTGGTGCTTTTCTGATGACCAAACTTGGGCAGGGTAGCTATCTGACTGGGTTTTACCTTGACTTACAAAGATTTATTAATATTAAGGGTCCTGTATTGTATGTTTTGATAATTAACTTAGTGCCTAGAATGAATCAATTATCATGTGGACAGTGGTCAAGATTGATGGATGAAATGACAGACACCCATAACTGCTCTTGATGTGCTGCAGTATATTTTTTTTTTGCTTCCAATCTCAATATTTGTGAGTCGCATAAAAACCCAGTATAATCTGTATACTAAAATCTACCCTAAAGGCTTTAATTACTGCCCAGGTTTGATAACTGTGCAAGCCAGAACCTAAATCATGATAATAATAAAGATAATATAGCTGATAACAGTACAGATATTACTAATGAAACAACTATTATTTTTTTTACCATATTTACTCCCTCACCAAATGAATTTAATGTGTCAACCCATTAATATAGCAGAAAACATATGCTGAAGGTCCCAAGGGCACACCTTATGTTTATTGCCATCATGGTTATCATGTTGATGCAATGAAACTGTCTTTAAGATTTGAAATTCTATATATTTTCTCATATAAATGACAATGTTCATATTATGTTAGTGACATTTGTTCTTTTCTTCCAGCTTTGTCAAGCAGACCATCCATGCTGATATCCGGCACCCTAGGTGTTACGCTGTTTGCTGGTATGCAGATGTTCCGTCAACAGCTTGCATCAACAGAGTACTTCACAATCCTGGGGGGATTCTTAGGCTCTGTGCTTTTTATTTTGGCACTTACTGTATCCTTGAATATAAGATGTATTTGGAGATGAACATGTGTCATGTATGCCATGTCTCAGCTGTTATGTTGCATACAAAGTTTTGTCATGCAGTGATCCATAACACTATGACAACCTGGCTGTTTTGGTATACATTTTCATGCAAACATTTTATGAAATTCTGTAATGCAGAAATTCAGAAAGGATGACAACACATCATGAATGACAAGGTTGTTGTTCTCTCAACAAGATCAACTTGTGCATGCTATATGTGAGGGCTATCACTGGGCAAATCAACCTGTGAATACACCATGTCACCATGTAAAGGCCTGTCTAATGCACCACCTGGGGAACCTGTACTGTGTTGTGCTGGAGACATCATTAACATCAGCACCCCAATCATCAATAAACAAGTACCTTGTGATGTGAAAGCAACAATCGGTGGGTCAGGTTTGCTGACTTGGTTGATGCATGTCATCGTATCCCAGTTGCGTAGATCGATGCTCATGGTGTCAGATAATGAATTGTCTAGTCTGATTATTTCCAGATGGCCGTCATGTAGCTGGAATATTGCTGAGTGTGGCGTTAAACAACAAACATGATGTGAAAGCATCTACATGATCTTTCATATCAACAGGCAAGCTTGAATCAGTGTGTTTTACCACCTAACTAGAACTAAACATTGTCTGTGGTAACCTCATGAATAACACCTAATCCCTATCTGATTAGCAGGTGTTGTCAGGCAATGTGCACCCAGCATTTACTGTTGATCCAACCTATTTGTTTTTCATCTTTCAAAATAATCAGCAACTGTTATCTGTTATGGGAAGCATGTTAAAGGAGTAAGTATGTACTCCGAAACGTTGTGTTCCTTATAATAAAGAAGTTAACATCATCAATGCCATGGAAAGACATGTTGAAAAGAAATATTAACAGTTCTTGTCCTCTCATTAAACTGAGATCCTGTGGACATCTTGTATATCCTGTAGTGTTTGGAAGGGTTGATACATGCATTATAATTGAATTTGTATTAAAAAACATGCAACGTGTGTAGGCATTCTTGAATATATGGTGGGTGCATGGGTGTCCCAGTTGTCTACCATCTCATTCAGATCAGATCTTAGTTCTCACTAACGCTAAACAAAGATCTGAGGACATCCCATTTCAGGTCACGCCAGAATGACCTTTCATATGACAAATGGGAGTGTCGCTTACCACAGTGGGAAAGTGACAGTCAGACTGTGTTTTTTTTTAATCATGCAAGCTTGAAACAGTAACAAGGTGTATTCTGAATGACAGTTACGGACTGTACGACTGATTCCGTCAAAATCATTGGTTATCTGTCACTTCAATGGGATAAGTATTTGAAACGGAAGAGGCTTTCCTTAGCCTGTGGGATGTACAAAAATCTGCCATCTATTAGACATTCCAGAATTTTCTTTTGTTCACTTTTCAAATTTTCAGTCAATATTTTTCAAAGTCTAGTTTGGATTGGAAATCGCCAGTTTGAAACTAGTACAAATGTACCATAAAGCTTTAGGCAGTTGTTTTCTGATTGGTTAATGTGGACCTCTTGTTAGTTATTGTATCATTCTGTCAAAGTTTGTGAAAGGTCGTTCTGATGTGACCTGTTAGGTGATGTCCTCAGATCTTTGTGTAGAAGTACTGAGCACCAAGATCTGATTTTAATCAGATTGAGTTGTCTTAAGCATTGCAGTTCCGTTCATCCCATAGACATGTAAGAATCTCAAATTCACCTTGATAATGTTTCTTGGTTTGTCAGCACCATACTTGCCATACTCTCATGGGTTTCACCAAAGTGGAAATTGTGGAAGACTGCATCATGTTAGGATGTCCTCCCACATCTAGCTGACACAGTGAGATAACTGAAATACTGTTTCAGCCAGAATCACTCATTATTCATGAATTCAAATTTACAATTTTCCTTAACCTGTCTGCAGGCTGTAGGAAATTTTGAAGCTAGCACATTTGGATATGGTTTCCAAGCAAAACTTTTCCCCGAAGGTAAGTTCCCTTCTGTCTTACTACACATATTGTAAACTGTATTGTCAAGTGCTTTGTTTTGTATTGTAAAAAGGCTAAGATATATGTGATATTTTCTGTTTTAATTATTGAGTAATATCATGAATAAAGTCCACATGGTAGGCTTGGTCAGTTTTTGAAAGATTTTTCTTAAACTGAATGAATTTGTATATACTTTGTAAAGTTGTAGGTATGATAATTCGAAAATAAGATGCTTCCATGAACCATTAACAGTTATGAAAGCAAACAATCTGTGAAAAGACAACTAAACTCAGCAGTAAATTAAAGTTGTTGTCGTCTGATAATGCAAACACTGGGGGTGTTGCCTGGTAAGGGAGGCTACTCCCACTTAGTATGTTGGAAATTTGATCAACTGCATTCCACTGTTCAAGATGCCACCAATTGGCATGCACGTTCAAAACATGCAGCTTAGGTTCAGGCATGTCAACAGATACACTTTGGTAAAATGGTTTCCTGTTACACTCATCTGAGAACTCAGGACAGGGAACTACATTGGATCTTCTGATCAAACCACTATTATCGTGATATTGTGATATTTGCCTGCTTAGTGTTGTCGACTTCCTCCATGGTCTAGTGGATAGAGCCACTGCCATCGATCCACGGTCATGTCATACATTAAAATATGGTACTTGTTGTTGCCCAGCCTGGCACTCTGCAATATGGGGATTTATAGGAACAAGGACTGTTTGGCTCCACGTCGTTATACTGTGTCTGTGTGGGGTATCCATGATACACTGTGGCATGGTATCTCAGTTGGCTAGCACTATAAGACAGCCATGTTTATGCACATTGCTAATAATTTTGAATAATCGTGACGTTAAACCCCATTTTACCTCCACTCACCTTGGTATAGTCATTACTGGTTACCATGGTTACAGATTTAAACATCAATAATTTTCTCTATTCTATCGTGTATGTTTAAATTTCTTTCATGTTGGTAAACATTTACGCTGTAAGTTTATGCTGATTTGAACCATTCCTATTTTCAGTCTCTGTACACCATTCCGATTTTATTTCAAGGCAACAGATAGGCTTCAAATGACATGTACTAATAATGGCAATTTGTGTCTTCTTCCCTCCAGTTGTAGGCTGTCTTCTGCTGTCTATGTTTGCGTCTGGCCTGATCCATCGTGTGTGTGTCACAACATGGTAGGTCGACTCTCCTTGTCACTAACTCGCATAAAGAAGAAATTGTTATCAAAGTGCCTGTGTGTGTTAATAACTCCCATGGAGCCCATGCTAGTCTTAAAATTTGCCAAAAACCAAGCATTAGCAGAATGTCAGGTGAAATTGAATCACACATCATTGCATTGCACTTTGAGAGACTGAGCCACAGCTATGATTTGTGACTGTGTCATTATACCTTGTGTCAGATGAGATTTCATCTACAAACATTGGTTTAATCCAAATGATTTATCGCTGATTACCAGAGCGGCTGTTTGCTTCTGCTCTCTGTATTATATCACAAATTGAAGTAAGAAGCTGAAGAAGATCTATTGATAGCAATCCCTTAAAATTCTGTTCAAATTTGCTCACACTTGCCTATAAGCCATCAGGACCAGAATTCATTTTAAAATTCCTCCTCAGTCTAGACAGGGATGCTGATTACCAGCTTATACTTTAGAAATTGGAATTGACTATGGCAGATGGAGTATGCCTCTAATAGAAATATGGCACGAACATGATTCATTCAATTTCTTTTAGTTTTCCTGACCTTTTCAGGGATGCAAATGAACTTGAAACAATTACTAGCCTGAATCATAACGTGTAAGGACACACCCTAAAAGCCTGATACTCTAATACTGTAATAGCCCTTAGGATATTTTTAACATTAGACATGGGCTAAGTGATTAGTGTCAGTTGGCATCCCTGCCTTTACTGTGGAAGGTAAATGTATGCAAAACGAAAAGGGTGTGCAGAGGGGTGAAGTCTTTAGGTGAACTTTTCTTTAGCGTTGTTGTTTGTTTGTTTCAGTTTCATCTTCTCAGTGATTGCTCTATACTATATCAACAAAATATCCCAGTCAACATACGCCCCTCAGGTTTCAGCAACTGTTACACCAGCCAAGAAGAAGAAGTAGATGTTTCACAGGGAAAGGTTTACATTTGATAGTCATTTATCATGTTATCACAACAACGGTAATAAACATGTTTATTAAAGATGGTGTCTTCATCTTTCAAAATATTTTCTGGAATGCAGAACATGAGAAGAGTAGGTCCCCGTATGCTTGTCAGAAGAGTCGACTTAAGATGATTGTAACAAATGTTATATCTGGGATAACACTTACTTAGTAAAATACAAATTATAGTACTTTTTGGGGTTGAGTCCCATCTGGGATTCGAACCCACACTCTCAGAGTGAGGCACCAATTCGTCAGCACCTAAAGTCAGAGATCTATCCAACTCAGCCTCAACAAAACTGAAAGTCCGACAACTTGTCATCTATATCACATACTTTGTGTACTCCTCAGATAAGTGTAAATTGGCATGGCTCCCATTTGTTATCCCAAATATAACATTGGTTACATTTGACCAATTTCTAAATGGCATTGTGTATTCTTAAGGCGATTGGGTGAACAAATGCAGTGATATGGCTTATTGCACATCATTGTGCCCGATTGCATGGATCCTTACTCCTGCTCTTTATTCAAAGACCACTGTGATATAGCTGGAATATTGCTGACTAGTATTAAACAACATGAACTCCCTAACAGTTGAGTAGAGTCAGGCTTGGGATTCTGTGGTAGAATAGGTCCTCACTTCTGAATGTTTGTCCTAAGAGCTGACTAATAAGGATTTGATGGTCTCAGTTTTTGACATGGTTGGTAGTGTGACATTGGGCCCCAACAGCTTGGATCGTTGCTCATCCTATCAACCGCTGGTTTGCCTGACAAATGCTTGAATATTTAATGGGTACCTTGATGAAGCTGGATTATTGCTGACTGTAATGTCATTCCATCACATTCTCTCTCAGCAGATCTTGCTGAGGAGAATAGGGAGTGAAATAGCTCTCTGGTGCTCTCAGCTTGATGAGTGAATGTTATTTGGTGCTGCAGTGTTATTGTAGTTAAGGTATATATCATGGTTGCCTGAAGGTAAGCAAGTTTGGGCCAGGCAAACCAGTGGTTTACATCATGAACATGACCCATCCCATTTAGACACACAATCAGCCAAAGTAGTTAATTCTTACATTAAGCGTTTGGTACTGGGAACATATTCAGGTCCAAAATCCTAAAGGGTGATGTAAATGATACCTGAAATGATGGTCAGGTTACAATGGGCAGCACAGCAGTAAAAGGTGTCCAGGGTAGATATTACAATGTGAAACCCTTGACGAGGTTTTGCAGCCAGCTCCTCCGCAAGGAGAACATGTGATACCACGTCTTAGTCTTGAGAGGTTTGGGGGTTTAGCTGTTCGTGGGAATTGACTGATTGTACGAGGGGTCGCCGAAAAGTTCTGAGCCCAAATACTAAGGATGTTTAGTACACCCTTCACCATCAGAGTGGAAGAGAGAGCCTCAAAGCTGATCACCTTATGAAAGTGTTGATAAAATACATATGGATGATCGAAAACTAGCACACATCCAATAGCCGTTACCAATAGGCATCTATCAAGAGAGGGTTGAGCACATTCTAAGGAATGAACTGGGCGCTTTTGACTTAGACACGTTCCAGGATCATCATCTCTCGTGAGAATTTACTTCCTTTTGAAGCTAACGCTGCTGATTTTGATGAGCGATTTGTAACCATGGTTGAGTCTTGCGCTCACCACTCTCCACCACAGAATAAACAACGGTCAGTGGACTACGTACTGAAAGGTCAGACTATTAAAGACCAATAATATTATGCTAATATGCCTAATCAGTTTGTTGTTTAACACTGCACTCAGCAATATTCCAGCTTTACGGCGGCGGTCTGTAAATAATCGAGACAATCCAGTGATTGATATGATGAGCATCGATCCATGCAAATGTGGTCCGTTGACATGCATCAACCAACCATCAACCACCTTGAGGAAGCCTTCTACACCATGCACCAATGGAGTCCAGGCACTCCCGCGTCACTAAGGACGGTCGGGTAGCCTAGTGGTTAAAGCGTTCGCTTGTCACGCCGAAGACCCGGGTTCGAATCCTGACATGGGTACAATGTGTGAAGCCCGCCGTGTCCCCCGCCGTGATATTGCTGGAATATTGCTAAAAGCGGCGTAAAACCATACTCACTCACTCACTCCAGCGCCATTGGTAGAGACGTGTGTGGACCTCGCAGGGGTTATGCTGAAAAATAATCATCGGCTAGCTCAGTCACCATTGTCCATCATATATCCAGCTATACCAAGAAATCTCTGACAGGCAAACACGTGGTTGACAGCATGAAAAACGAGTTACTACATGCGATAGCCAATGTCATTAAAATCAGATCTTAGTTTTCTCTACCGCTTAACAAAAATTGTTTAGCGATAGCGAGAACAAAGACCTGATTTTAATGAGATTGTGCGATACCAAAACACACAATTAGCCAGGTCAAACATTCTGACCACCCAATCCTCGAATTACCCATGCCTCTCGCAACTGAATGTTCAGTTGTCAGAAACATGACATCATTAAAACCTCTCCATAACAATCTGACACTATAATTACTTAAGTGTCAGGGGTGACTGATTGAATATTGTTAACGCCAGGGTCTTGTCTGTCACAGTCAAACCAGTGGTTGATAGCCAGAATGACAATTCGTGTCAGGTATCACAGGTCCCACATTGTAAACACTGGAGTCTCGAGTTATAAATAGGAGCATATGGGAACTGCAATTTTCAGTTCAGGTGCTATAGCAAAAAATTGAATTGGGTAGTAGCAATGAGTATCTTCCGAGATCCGCCACAAAACTGACTGCCCTAGGACCCAAACCAACGCTTATCATTAATTCATGGTCTTTGTAAATAGTTCAAAATTCTTCGACTTAGAGTAGCTCTAAGGTAATTACACTTACGAGTAACTTTCAATTCTGAGAATGTTTCTAACTGCGACCTCGGGTCACCATAATGGTGGTACATATTGTTGATTATCAGGGGAATACAGGGAGACCGTCCCGGAACAACACCAGGCTAGTGTTGACAAATACCACGCAGGACTACCGACTACAGCATAATGTTCATGACTCTGGGCGTTGTAGAATGAGAACACCATTTCTATTTTCTCAAAACACAAATAATGCTGATAAAAATATCTTATGAGAATATTTGAACAGAAGTCGCATAGATATCAGTTACAGGCTTGAAAAAATAGACGAAGCGCCTGTAAAATATATATTTCAGGTCGGATAACTTTCGGGAAAAAATACAGCACTTGGGTTGTCAAGTTACGCAATTAGCATTTCCCACCTTGAAATAACGGCGGCCTCGCCGGTGCAGGAGCAACGTCTGAAGAGTCGGTAAAGATAGCCTTGCACTGACGTCGCCGCTTGTTTCTACTGTCTCGCAATGTTATCTTTGGAGGTTCCACATGGCTGACTCCTGCACCAACAACGCTGCCACTCTGACTGATGACTGGGTTAGCTTTACACATGCGTCAGCGCAGGAGTAGTTTCCACTTTCATGATAATGTTGGAATAGTTTTCTATAAGCAGCAGGATTATCTTGTATTATCCATGCACTGATATGCACGGTTCATAACACGTCATGAGAATAGAGTACGTTTAGAGCTCACCTGATCTGAAAATTGAGCTTTTGTCGTGGGGCGTTTGACCCTGGACAAAGTCTATGAAGCTGATATTTGCATTAGATATCCCAGCAATGGTGTCTCTGAAAAACGTCGATCCGATTACAAGCATGACCACCACGGCGGCCATATTGATTTTGACATTTAATTTGAGCTCATTACTCGGCAGTTTCATCGTGATGCTTCGTGAAATGTATTATATAGGAAGTGGTAACAGCGTGCACATTGGATAACATATTGATACATAAAATCTTTGAGTAGGTCTGATGTTTTCAACATGGCACCCAGAACGTCGATCATTTGGAGGTCCAAGTTCAAAGCTGTACCAATTCTCAAAATAAACGCTATTTAACAGTCATGACTTTAGGCATATCACATCACTACGTCATAGAAAAGTCAAACAGATAAATTATACATACGTACGTACATACATACATACATACATACATACATACATACATACATACGTGTGTGTGTGTGTGTGTGTGTGTGTCTGTCTGTGTGTGTGTGTGTGTGTGTGTGTGTGTGCGTGCGTGTGTGTGTGTGCGTGCGTGTGCGTGCAAAATCATATGTTGCAAACAATACTGAATGTTAAATGATGCTGGATACCGTTATCATCCCGGCATCTGCAGAGTGCAGCTTCTTATTCCCTTTGGTTCTGGTCGAGATTTCTAAAATGCAGTGGCACGTTTTGCAGGGACGTGTATGAATATATGCCAAGATGGTAAAAACGTTAATATTGTTCGGTCTTGTTTCTTCTTTTTCCCGTTTACCCTGATGACCGCTGTGAAGTTTTCAAGAAGCTAGGCACGTGGTCAACAGCGCCTCTTGGCTTCACTATAAACACATTGGCAATGTTAATTCTTGGAATCAACATTGCACATACGCTGATTCCTTTGTTAAAACGACTCTACCAAAAAAGCACGGTGACTTAGAAAGTGGAGATCACTTTATTCTTCAACTTACTGACATACTTTCCTACTTGCCCAACTATTTATGATCTCACATGACTTAATTTGATTTTTATTTAAAACCTTCTGTTGATGTGGAGTAAGGAGCCGCTCGACGCGAGGAACCTATTTCGACAAGTCCGTTTAGCCAGACAGAGACGAAATAAATAAGAAACGCTTACCGTTACTATCTCTTGCCTTGACAAGCATGATTGTCTTCTTCTCCAGTTCAAACGTACATCATTTTCATTATGGTGTTTGTGATATATAAGTCCCTTTTCCAATTTCCCCGAATGATCGAACACTTTGACCCGAACCTGTGACGATATTACCCATTCTGTCATTCTGTTCCTTTTGTTTACTATCTCGACCAGGGCAGCTAAAGCCGACTGACGGGCCCTGAACAAGAATTATGTGAAATGTGTCGCCTGTGCATAAGGACCATCATCCCCAATCGACTAATGAGAAATGTGTCATGTCTGGTGAATATGGCATGCTAGGTGATGCTCTGTTCTCAGACCGTCTGGACATATTTGGGTAGTCTTCATCGCTTAGTGCACAAGGCTAGACTTGGGGATTGTCTACAAAAATTTATTACGCGCATGATTGGACATGGTTGCCTACAGGAATCCAGTTTTAGCACTAGGCTATATTCCTCTGTTGTCTTTGCAGGCACGAGTAACGAGTGTCGACGCGAGGCTAAGTGCCTAGGACCATTCTCTACATTTCTGTCCCTGGTGTTACTCCTGGGGCTAATGGAGAAGGGGTCGAAGACGAGGCTGCTTTTTTATGATGATCGGGGCCGGGGAGATCAGGTGGGGGTGGGGGTGGGGTGATGAAATAATGACACAGAGGGTACAGTCCTACCGCAAAACAAATATCCGAGGACATCCCATTACAGGCCACGTCAGAACGACATTTCGCGAACTTTATCCCACCAATGACATAACTAACAAGAAGGCACCATCAGCCAATCAGAAAGCAGCTCTCTCGAGCTATAGTTTATAGCACTATAGCTATAGCATTAGTTTCAAACTGGTAAAAGGCGACCAACTGGCTCGGGTGGTCAACTCGCTGACTTGGTTGATGTATGTCATCGATCCCAATTGCGTGGATCGATGCTCATGATGCCAATCACTGGATTGTCCTGTCCAGACTCGATTATTTACAGACCGCTGTCATATAGTTGGAATATTAATGAGCGCGGCGTTAAACAACAAACAAACAAGCAAAAGTTACAAAAAAACTGGCGACTACGCTTTGAAAAAATATTTTGTCAAAGCTTTTGATTCAAAATTTGAATACTGAATAAAAGAACATTCTAGAATGTCTAATAGATGGCTTAGACTGTATGGCAGTACTTCCCACGGGTAATGCAAAGTCCCACCCGTTTACATATTTGTATCATTGAAGCGAGAGATAGATGTTGATTTTAAGGGATTTCAGTCGCAAAGCCCTTGGCTGCCGTTCGGAATACCCCGTGTCAAACGTTTTGAGGTTGCATGCTTAGGTCACTTTCCTGATATGTAAGTAACATTGTGATTGGTCGGATGAAAGGTCGTTCTGACGTGACCGTAATGTGATGTCCGCAGATCTTTGTTTAGCGGTAGGGTGAACTAAGATCTGATTTTAATGAGATTGGAAATTACCAAATTACCTAACTAACTGACACACACACAGGTCGATGCTCGGACACTTCTCGAGCATTCCAAAGTGCTGTAACATCAACAAGTATTTCTGTGGCAGGCTAGGCGGCCGAGCAGCTCCCGGGGGCAATGGGTCTGAATCAATACCACGTTATAATAGCTCTGTTCTTCCAAGCCAAATAAAGATAAACACGATCACATTAACATGCTTTTGTGTTTTTTCTTCGACAGAAACATTTTTCTAGGATTGCAAAACACGAGAGTCCAAACCCATCAACCGTCTTAAACATCGTGGTGGAAATCTACGCAGTAGGGAATCACTTTTTAATTTCCTGCTCTGTCAACTCCGAGTTGAAAACATATTAGCAAAACACTGCGGCAGAACCAGATATGACTTTGCAAAATGAGATTAAAGAAATATAACGTACATACATACATACATACATACATACATACATACATACATACATACATACATACATATATATATATATTGTTTTGTTCAGTCGATTCTTCCACAATCGTCACGTCGATGGCCTGGGTTCGAATCTTCACATGATCAGATTGTGTTCAGCCGGTCCCCGCCGTGTTATGGCTGGAGCATTGCCATCGACCCAAAACCTTATCACTAAAGAAGTTAAGGAACACTCGATTCTTCTTAATCTGTCATGGTATATGTACATATACACTGGTTTTTCATGTTCCTGATCACAAATATAAATATAATGTAGCACTGCAGATTGAGATGCATAATAGCTTTCAGTACCTACTGACGCAAACAACTTTATAAAGAAAATATGGAGTCCGGTTCCAATAGCTATGTCCAAGGAATTTGAAACCCAAATGGAACAAGATCTTTATACAGGTAGCTTAAAATAGATATCCCGGGTTCGATTGTCAAAATGAGCATGTGTGAAGCTATATTTTGGTTTCCTTCGTCGTCACATTGCGGGAATATTTTTACAGCGATTTAAATCAATGCTTTCTCACTCGATGTATACACGAATGTAGGCTTTGCTCGGACAACAGTTCCAAAACAAGCAGTGGTTGTCTGTACAAGAGAGACTTTATGGATCCCAGTGGAAGAGTGAAGTAAACTGAATCTTGTGTACAACCACGCTCCACAGAGGGAGCTTAGCGTTAAGACTGTCCTAATTCTAACTGCCATACTTTAACACAGGCGATGATCGTAGAGCTCAGATCGGTAAACTGAACGAGGTTGCATTGGTTATATTTTAAACCTAAAGATGGGTGGTACATGAGCATTTACATCATATATACAAAAAGATATCAACATGAAGAGTGACAAAGCGAGCGGTTCTTTCTTAAATTGTTTGATAGGCATTACTTAGAAGTTGACGGATAACAAGGTAGACACAATTTATGGATAACAACTTCTTTAATACTGTAAAAAGCGAAGTTTCGGTATAAATCCTTATATCTTGCTTGACAACGGTATACGGGCCTATACCGAAACGTCGTTTTTTACAGTATTAAATAAGTTGTTATCCATAAATTGTGTTTAACTTGTCGGTTCTTTCTTATTAATTTACATAGACATGCCATGGATCTGGACAAATTTCTTATATCTTTCAACCTTTTTGGTGAAACAGTTCTATAGAGTTTTAAAATAATTGGCCCCATGTGGTATTTTTGGGGAATATACAGAATTGTTTGTTGGAGAAGAGCTTCGCATCTGAAAAGTTTGTAAAACACATCTCCTACTGAAAGTGAATCACGTAGTTGACAAAGCCTTTCTTTACCAGAATATATGTACGTAGGTAGCAATGTATGGTTTTAGGGCTTCTGTTATGTAAGTGTTAAAAAGACGACAATGCCACACGTACTCGACATAATACCCCCCGCAGCGGAGCCCGATAGGTGCAAAGACAAACTCCACCTCCCACATCGCAAACGTATGTCGAATAATGAAGTATGGAGACATTTAATTAACCCCATTGTACAACTGGTTGCTGAACTCCGCCGACCGTTCATTGTTTTCTTTAGCACCAACAGGTACGCTGTAGACTTTCAAGATGACAGAACAGAGTTTAATTGGATACTAATCACGCGTGTTTGTGATAAATCGGAGTGGGTATACAGGGGGCTCTACAAGGGGCCACTGTTGACATCTGGCTACCTCAAGCAACACCAGATAAACCAGAGTTTGAAAGCGGTAATTCTATGTCAGGACATAATATTACGTTCCTGAGTTAATCTGTCAGATCTGTTTTTTCTGAATCTGTAGCCCTGAAATCGGTGCAAAGATCAGCCAAAGATAACAGCAGTCTGTGGTAGGCAGCTTCATATATATACTGTACGAGGATCATCCCAACCAAGTTCCTCGTCTCGCCCACAAAGCGACTTGAACCCGCAGGAGGTAGGTGTGCACCTATACTTTATACGTATATATATAAGATAGCTACGCAATAAATAGCAAAGAACAATGAAGATCGAAGCGTGGTTTATTTGACGATAAAACATTGTTCTATCATGACGTCATTTTAGGAGATACGAACATGCGCTCGCAACTTGTGCCGTTGTATATTGGGCGAGGGAAGTGTCTTGTGAGTTGTTCCCCATAGATAGCTGGGCACCGCAGATAAACGCTATGGCCGAAAGATCGTACCCAAAGGCGGGAGAGATATGACAATCGGTATTGGGAGAAAAAGGTACATGTAATTGACGTGAGGATTGTGAGAATATGCGGGAAATACCACCTGTGCATAAAATGGATTTTTCCGACATTGCCGAGGTCGCATTCTGTTGAAGGAGCCATCATTATTAAAAAACGGGTAACGATGTTTAAAGCTTGCAATTACTCCGTTATCCTTAAAGAGGCTGTACATAATGTACATCTCAAAAAGAAATATACGACTCGTGGTCGTTGTTTGTCGTACAGTAAAACACTGCAGCAGTTTTATGGGACAAAAAACAACTGCCACTCGTCATTTATTTCTTAAATAATGATTATGATAATGCTGCTCTTGACGGTAGTAGTAGTAGTGAGTGAGTTTGGTTTAACGCCGCTTTTAACAGTATTCCAGTTATATCGCGGCGTGTCATCTTAATGTGGGAGGAAAGCCCGAAGTGATGCAGGTCTCAGACGTTTACCGCTTCAGTGAAACCCACGAGCACGGGTATGGTGCTGACAAACCCAGAACAATAGTAGTAGTAGTAGTAGTAGTAGTAGTAGTAGTAGTAGGTCCGTCATAGTAAATAATTGCTTATATCGAAGCTATGTCTGATCAGCCAGTATGCTCACCTTGAATTCAGTTCGAGGTGTAGCTGTCCAAATACTGACTTGCAACTTAAATGTGTATAATTGTCAACGCTTTGGGCACATCAGCAGATTCACACTTATTCTTGCCCAGACGTGGTTAGTGTCGGCGTTTGTCCCCTAAAGGCCACAGCTAGTTTATTATTAGGTCTTCTGATTCACCGCTTCTTTTTTCACGAGTTGGTATTTGAAAATAGGCGAAAACAATTAATATACCTGTTGACAAAATAGGGGAGGAGGAGATGGAGGCAGCTTGAACGATGGTTATAAAATCCCCCAAATTAATGTTTACAAGTCGTTCTCCGATCACCCTGAAGGGAAAAACGATTCGAAGAACAACCACTTTGCTGTGGCCTACTTCTGTTATCTCTCTATCCATTCTGAAAGTTAAACACAGCGTTTAAAAAAATGTAAATGTTATCATTAATTTTCTTGTATAAATCACCTCTTCACTTTGGGGTTGGTGGGTAGGAGTTGAGGCGCAGTACTACAGCGCTGTAATCCTCTGCGTACTTTAGTAATAGTACATCAGCACTAGAATAATGCTGTTTTTAGAAGATTTAAAACTTTTTGAAATTATATCAATATTAAAATTATTTGTTGAAAGAATCTCAGCTGTTCATCTTTTATTTCCAAATGTATGTTTCTAAATACGATGTTATAGTAAAGAAGAGTTACTGTTAAAATATTTTTTTGAGAGTAAATTAACTTCCTCAATTTTCATTGACATTTAACAATCACAAACGTGATTTGGGGGGTTTTAATTGGCAATTAAAAGTAATAATTTCTAAAAATATTTCTTTTCAGCTGCAGTAGTGAGTGACTTAAAAAACTTCGCATCGAAATTATTTCAGCCATTCAGCTGTAGTAAGCTCCGATACAGCTACATAAGTGTCAATACAATATCAAATATAAGTACCCAGTCATTGTCTTTAATCTGGGTTTCATTAGCTTAACAACTATTAAAACATCAGTATTTATATATACCTCAATCCTTACGCGCATTCTGATTGGTTTGTCGTATTTCGCACATAAAGTTGATCGATAGGTTACGAAAAGGGTCGAGCGGTGACGTATGTATTTTCGTGCCCCACTAACAAAAAACATTAGTTAACAGTTTTGCAGTGCAGTCATAGCGTCACCAGACTTGTGCACGGGGGCATTGTCGTGGTGGGACAACACAGCTCAGAGAGTTTTCCACGATGCTCAGCCTTTATATTCTCACGCAGTTGCCTTACCATACCATGTGCCTTTAATGGTCTGATTTTTCCGGGGGTAGTCCGTCCATCAGTTTGATACCTTTGGAATCCCAGAAAAACCGAATTCACCCCATCGCCAGCTGATGGAACAGGTTGTTTTGACCGTATTTAGTTCCTGGCTGATAGTGGTTCACATACACAACATTTACTAACGTCAGTAACCTGCACATGTGTAACTATACATACGTGTGTATATGTAAATTTACTATGCATTCACATGAAAATCAACTTGTGTGTAGATAAAGTATGTATATTGTGTAAGGCACACATATTCGTCCGTCTGTTTAAGACTTTCAACACAAAACAGGTTGTTTTCCAATCAAAGTTGAATGCGAAGAGAGTTAATTCACCAAAAAATTCGCGTGTAGCAACATGTGTTATATTTAATTTGTACTCAAAGATTTGACTTCTTGAAACCAAAAGAAAACACCGCCCGCTCCACTCTGTATATACGCATAAAGTTAGCAACTGTTGACAATTTGTTTGGTATTGGCAAAAGAACAGATATTAATTAGATCATACGTTAACATTGCAACATATACACACAGTGCAAATTGACATTTACATTTTCACCTGCTCCAGACATGATGCAAATTTGCTCCTGGTGTAAATATACACACATGAGTAAGCACGTTCACGTGACAAGTATACTCACGTAGGTATTTCTACACACGTATGCACATACATGTATACACACATATGTATGGAGGCGCATGTGAACGGGGTATTAGACTCATCCATGGTTACAAAGAGCTGAACAAAATCAGAAGGTCTGCTTCAAAATGACGAAAATATTCACGAGTACCGTATTGGCAATATGACGTGGGGTGTGTCATCGATCATCCACGATCATATCATTTATTGATCAACATTTTCCTCAGTTGTGGCAGTTGAAAATGTTCCTGATCTTGGCTCATCTTTCTCTTCACTTCTTGAAACTCCTCTGCTCATCTCATAACCGTGAGCGGCAAAGGAAGGAGCATCGCCCCTAAAGTTGGCACCATGTCCGTAAGGATGCTTTTTGGAGTTGGCCATATCTGTTGGAGATACTTCATGACAGCCCCGAAGCCAATTTTGACCATCATCATCAACAGACAATTATTGATAGTCATGATATTATCCCGTAAACTATGATTTAATTTTCAGCTAGGTCTGCAAAGCCATACATTTTTTCATAAAAATCATGAGCCTAAACATTTTGCTACAATGTATTTCTTGTGGCGGGTGTTTTTCTCCAATATTCTGAAGCACAATTATCTATATTTTTATTTTTTAAAGCATTTTCTGGGACTCTTTACAATTTCATTTTACAATGTCTGTATAGTCATGTGAAAATGATCCGTGAAGATCCGGGGTAGAATAGGTCTCCAGCAACCCATGCTTGCCGTAAGAGGCGACTAACGGGATCGGGTGGTCAGGATGATTTGGTTGATGCATGTCACCGTATCCCAATTGCGTGGATCGATGCCCATGGTGAATCCCTGGATTGTCTGGTCCAGACTCGATTATGTTATAGACCGCCGTCATATAGCTGGAGTATTGCTGAGTGCAGCGTTAAACAACAAACAAAGCATGTGTATATATGTATGATATAAATGTATTGTATTGTTTTTTAATGTTTAATAATGTCTCATAGTCTCTTTGTGGCCGTCCTAGTCTACCGAAGAGGCATTCTTCTACCTAGTGTACAGCACGTGACATCTTAATAAACTACATTTCTTCTTCGTCTAAGATACACATGATAATCGAGGATGCCTCGTCCCAACTGACACTTTCTTCCCTCTATTTCAGCCCAGGTACCAAGTTTGATTGTCACGTCCTGACCAGACACTGATTTCTGCTGTGTTGATCTAATGGGCCGTTTTCGGTGCTGTACACGGTGACCTTTGACAAGCACTAATGAAATTGGTCTAGATGACGCGTGGTACACCGTGACTTTAAGAACGCAGGATATCAAAGACATTGTTGTCATCTGCGTGTGTGAAATTAACTAGAGCGCCTCACCGACAAAATGTCGGTTTATTGGCATTAGCGCATGTATACAGACTTTTCTCCGGCGGTAAGTTGGAATGCAATAATCTCACCTTCTGCAGAAGCCGCGGCCAGGCAAATTGAATAAATTGTCATCACTCAACCAGGCGTTGTTTTCAACCTTTACAACGAAAACCAGGAACTGTCACTATGGGAACGGCGGATTGTATTATTGCGCATGACTCTATGAAGTGCTGAAGAGTTTGTCGGGTCCACTCGTTGCACGAGGCTCTATTGGTGAAAACATTTCATTACCGTTCAGCACGCTGTTTCCCCAGCTTCAGTCGATTACTTCACTGAGCAGACGACAGACCACACGCGGACCGAGGAGCCGGAGCAGACGATCTCTCTCTCACTCTCCCGCCAAAATGATACGAAATCATATACGCAAGAGTCACGATCCAAAACGACGGGCGAGTTTGTGTTTGTCCTCAGACCCGAACCCCCTCCTTACTGAGGGGGTGAGAAGAAGGGGGTCCCTCTTCACCCCCACGGGGCCTCTCCTGACTGTCCCACCTGTAAGTGACCAGAGGCGGAGCTCATTCCCGGGGGTGGGATCAGGTTTACCGGTAACTACAAATGGTGACATTACCCGGCGACGATCCTCGAGTGTCACCCCGGACAAGACTGGGGGATTTACGGACATTGATGGTCAGCCAAACTGTAGGTCACTGAAAATCGTCGTGTCAACGATTGGATTATTTCTTGTGGCTGTCTTAGTGTATTCCTTCGTGAGACTCGTCACATGAGAAGCGACGCTGTCACGCACCAAGATGTTCTAAAAACGGATAATTTCAAGGGACCAAACCGAAGAGTGTACATATCTATCATCGGCTGTATATTATATTTTTGCACGTTTTGCCTGTAAATACCGACATATGACTACAACTATTTTCATGTTATGTCTTTGACGAGACTTATTTTCAAGAATGTGGACATGTGGAAGTTATACATCGTTGGACGTCAGATTGATCTACCATAATCACTTCAATGGATATGTGCTTTTGTTTGTTTCTTAATGGATACTACTTATACTGCAACATTGCGAAACTTCAATTTACCGAGAGGAAGAAGAGGCTCCGACCCGATCAATGGAACGGAATCTTCTTACCGAAACAATGCGCGAAAGGTTGATGAGACTGCCCTACTTCTCTCGGAAGCTCGTTTTCAAGGGATCATTTCTCGGGTTACTGTGGGGGAAGACCTGTACGTGACGTAACGCTCACAACGGAAGACAGGATGAGCGGTATGCATTTCAGGAGGGAGATTATCGTTGCACCGGATGAGTTGTGGTGTTCAAGACGGCGATAACACGATGCACCTTTCACCTCGGTGTGACCTGCACGTGCTACCTGTTCAGTTGGTGTAACAGGTATCTGTAGGTATATAAATAGATGAACTTTGAACTCGGACGGGTCTGAATGGAAGTAAATTTAGTATGTACCTCATTACTGATTACAAGGAATTCGACCCATCTCTAATTGTTTACATTACTTATCCATTTTAGTGTTAACAATCGCACGTGCTTGTAACACGGCAAGAGTCCAATGCTATTAATTCTGTATTTTGAAAGCACTACGCTTTTAGAGGGTTAAAAACTGCCGGGCTAAATAAAGTATGAAATTGAAAATTGGATTTGACCAAAAAATGACAAATATTACCAAAACGTTACTAGGCTGAAAACAGTCGCCGAAACAAGGTCTTAAACACAACTGTGATACCCGTATCAAATACACCTCTATCGAATAACCTTTTTTATATTTTTAGCCACCATCAAACACGGGTGTATGCCTTCATTTGCCCTGCAGTTTATATCTCATATTAATCGGGTCGTCAGATTGAAGGTTTTTTAAGTTTAAGGTTATTTTATTCAAGAGAAACCTCGTTAATCCAGACTAAGCACTCCCAGTAAAGTCGTCCAGATAAGCTAATCATAATTCGTTGTAGTATCTCTCTAAAATACGTCATGGAGTTAACAGTAATCGCTTTGTTGTGACTGATGGATGTCCAGGGTCCTGGGTAACGAGGTTTCGGAGTATACAATGTCTTCGTCTCTTATGAGTATTAAATGTGCAAAAATTGTTATAATAATTTAACATATGTGCTTAAAAAATATTAAAAATGAATGGAAGCTTCCCGCTATTTGTGTTAGCAGGTATACAAAGTGCTGATTAGTACTGTGAAGGCTTAAGACCGGACGCGAAGCTCAGCTGACGTAAACCCCATTTAACCGATTAACTGCCAAGCTTCTTTAGCTGTCGATGTGATTTCAAGAGGTTGTTGATGTTATTGTATATTTCATTCACCTGCCAGGCTGATTGACGTGGGATTATGTCAATTGCATGTAATTAGCATACACAGACTGGTTGGGAAGGAGACTGTAGGCTCATGCACTCTTACATATTTACAAATGCATTCGATAAAGTTAAGAAAACATATCAGTTCATTTGACAGGAACAATTAGACAAAACACGAGACACTACAAACTACTGCTGCACTTGTTGAATGTGTATGGTCCCTAGCTAATACTCATTCAATTCCAATTTTTCACTCACGTGTTCAATACTGGATCACCGCATTCACACATCACATTTTTCCTCATTTAACTGAAATACTAAATGACATGGGGTTTTTTCGTGAAAAGAATGAATGTATTTATACAAACATACATACCCACACGTGGCTAATTCCCAAATAGGTTCGAATCCTGTGTTCGAAATAAGCGCCAGACACTGGCCCGGGCAGGTAGATCTCGTGTCAGGCCCGTAGTTGTTTTAATTTTTTTTTGTATGGGTTCTTTTGACTTGCGGCACATTTACGTGTCGATTAAATTATCAAAATAAGCTGCAGTTTTCTAAATGAGGGTCTGAAGAGTTTAGTCAGGGCCCGCAGCTTCTAAGCCTGTGGGGGGCGGTCGGGTAGCCTAGTGGTTAAAGCGTTCGCTCGTCACGCCGAAGATCCGGTTCGACTTCCGGCATGGGTACAATGTGTGAAGCCCATTTCTGGTGTCCCCCGCCGTGAATTTGCTGGAATATATAAAACCATACACACTCACTCTAAGTCTGTGGGTCCTGATGGCAGCCTTGCACTGTGTTTCTTTATGTCAAACACTCGAATCCCCCCGTGGGGACAATGTGTAAAGCCCATATCTGGTGGCCAGGTCGTATCAGGACTGAAATGTGGCAACAAGCCCTGTAAAGTCACTCACTCACTCACTCGCCAGTTTCATTGCCTGGCTTTGGAGGTGAGGTCAAATGGGGATTAAGGCCCCATGTATGCACGTGTGTTTATAGTGCTAGCCCACTGAGATACCATGCCGCAATTTTACACAAATACCCCACTCAGACACAGTATACTGACTTCTAGCCGACCAGTCCCTGTTTTAGCCCCTAAATGCCCAGAGTAAGGCAGGATAACAACAAGTACCATCTTTTAACATCTTTTGGTATGACGCGGCCGGGGATCGAAGCCCGGACCTTCCGCTCTCTGGACGGACGCTCTACCACTAGGCGACGGAGGCGGTAGCCTAACGTTGGAAGATGAATGGCGTAGATTGTAAATACACACAAACTGTGTCCATAAAGTCGACTCTGGTGGTAAATTACTACCATATTCAAGGAATAATTGGGGGTTTGTTATGTCCTGAAACAAGGATAACAGATCATGATATAACCTATTGACGGCGACTCGACAGACCAGCCTGACATCGACCGCGACACAATAATGACAAGGAAGAACTGCCAACACGACGGCACGGTGATATCTGATCTACGGAGATCAGGTGATACAATAACACTTAGTGAAAAGTCGCGTATATTGCTTTAGGCTAGTTTCAGTCTAAGTTTCGTAAACTCTCCGCTCTTGATCAATAGAATTGTCTTTGCGAAATGTACACGAGCGAGAACGTGGTATGACCACCACGTGCACCCGTGGTGTTGCATACCTTTATCAGTCAGATAGACAGACTGACAGTAGTATATCAGTGTCTCACTTCCGTACATACATAAAACAACTTTGTACAACTTGACATAGGTAGAATGTACAGAACCATTCAAAAGAATTATGAGAGACAAATTATCATACAATTCATACATATATGCTATAAAGATGATATAGTAAAACGCTATCCGTATAAAAGATGCTTTCTACGATTAAGAATTAAAAAGCAGACTTTGGCAAGTATAAAACACACGTTAGCATTGTTGAATATAAAACAATATACGATAAACAATTGTCGATATCAGACTTTTCCAAAAGATTCGGAGATTTAGCAATACAATCATAAAAAAGAGCTGCCCTCATATCGTCATATAATAGGCAGTGAAACAATATATATCATGTATATATCACGACAACATTTGACGCCCGTGAAGACAACCTGGACACTGTATACGCAGATACAACGTCCTTTTGGAAACCAATGTCGTCATATGGCTGGAATATTGCTGAGTGCGGCGTTAAACAAAAAACAAAAACAAAAACAAAAAAATGTATTAACACTAGCCAATTAACGCCTTTTTAGTTTTCCTTTGAAAATTATCAAGAATGATTAGAAAACGAAAACACTTGAAAGTGAGTGATCTTGTGGCAATATTCAAGCCATATCACCACGGCCAGCTCGAATCTAGGCAACACGTGGGGAATTGAACCGGGTCTTCGACAAGACATCTTTATAGCAAACACTCTAGCTCTTGTACTACTGTCCACTATTTGAAAATCGATGTGTCAAGGTTATCCTTCGTGTTTCACACTGGAGGACTAACATTATGCCTTTGAAACGAAACTATTTCAGGACTGTGTTTTGTTAAATCGTCTTTGAATACGACATAAAAGTGACCGGAGAATCTTTGAAACTGAAGAAATCTAGACTTGCTAAACTGCCATTGGACTTACATTTAGTCCCAGAAATAAAGTTAACATATCTGAGTGAGTGAATGAGTATGGTTTTACGCCGCTTTTAGCAATATTCCAGCAATATCACGGCGGGGAACACCAGAAATGGGCTTCACACATTGTACCCATGTCGGGAATCGAACCCGGGTCTTCGGTGTGACGAGCGAACGCTTTAACCTCTAGGCTACCCGACCACCCCTATCATATTTGAAAATATATATCTACAAGATAAACAATATAAAATCCAAATGGAGTCCAGAACAATCCTTAATTTCATCATTCTAGATTTGAGCTGGAATCCTTTTAAAATCTTTTCTCTTGGGTCTGGGAGACCAACTAAACTCTTATATACATGCGTCTGAATTTTCGGATATTATTGTTACAGGGTCCGTAACGAGGGATTAAAGGTTGTTCCGTCTCTTTCTAAACGTACATCTTGTTCAATACGCTTACACCTTCATGCGCTTCCGCTGTCGATGGCATTACAATGGTTGTTCTTGATTCAAGTGGCAGTACAGCCGTGTTAGTTATGAACGTTTCACGAAACACGCGCGGTGTATGAGGAAGCACGTGGTTAACACAGCCCATTGTGCACAGGTCCGGCAACACTTGCGGCCTGATTTTGTTAAGTGTTTGTACGTGTCTTTCAAACGTAGTTTTCCCATTAACAAAGTGGGCTTGTAAGACGCAAACAACATTAAGATGTTGTAGGCAGTAAGTAGAAGAAGAAAAAGAATAGTTTATTATGGTGTCACGTGTTATATGCATATACATCAATAGTCATTTCATATTGTTTTAGATATGAGCCCCCAGCCAATTTTGCTTACTAGACACTTTTAAAACATGTACATCGTAATTAATTAAAGTTGATTATGTTGACGATAAGATTGAACATGCTAGTATACAATATAACAAGATACAACCTGATTTTATTGATACATCAATGCCACACCTGTAGATGATGTGAACGTTTGTTTGTTTGTTTGTTGTTTTACGCCGCACTCAGCAATATTCCAGCTATATGATGGCGGTCTGTAAATAATCGAGTCTGGACCAGACAATACAGTTATTGACACTATGAGCAACGATCTCCGCAATTGGGATACGATGCATCAGCAAAGTCAGCAAGATTGACCACCCGATCCCGTTAGTCGCCTCTTACGACAAGCACAGTCGACTTTTACGGCAAGCACGGGTTGCTGAAGACCTGTTCTCTACACGGATTTTGATGCGAAAGTGCCAAGGCTTATTGACAATATTCCTCACATAATAAGCTGACACGCCGGGATGAAACTGAAACGGTTCCTAGCGGTATTAAACCATCCTCGCTCACCACTGAAGATATGTGAAGACAGTCAGCATATCGTCGACAACTTTGATTGGTGATATTGTAAAACCCGTTAAACCGGACCGTCGCTTGAGGAATCGCCCGGGTTAACGAGTTTCTTGATTAATGAATCATCACTGGTGTGGCGTTTTACCCTCTTGCATACATGTTGAAGTCCCGAACAGTTATCGTCTGGAATGTGAGGTTTCCGGATTAAGGGGGTCTTGAAAATGAGGTTTCGCAGTATTGCATGATAAGATGTTTTCACTGAACACTGTGCAATTTATTGTATATTTAAGGTATCATGTAACAGCTGTTCAGTAAGCTTGACAGTCGTGTATTTCAAGGGCATATGTAAAAAACGCCAAAAAACGCCTAGCACAAACTGTTTGAGAAATCGGAGTTGAAAATGTTGTGTATGCAACTTTATTCCACGGAAGATTGTGCATTTCTTTAAGACCTATAACATAACTTGTCATATTTGGAAGTTTAATTTTAATAGAAAATGTCTACTGCAATTATCAGTTTGAAAGGAGTAGCAAATATCTTAGTTATTATTACCCTTGATACATCGTTCCATATCCAAGTCATTAAGACAGAGTTCATGTCCTATATAGGACATCTATGTTGGGTATCCCAGTCTGTCTACACATAGTAACATAGTATTGTCCATGTCCTATATAGGACATCTATGTGGGTATCCCAGTCTGTCTACACATAGTAACATAGTATTGTCCATGTCCTATATAGGACATCTATGTGGGTATCCCAGTCTGTCTACACATAGTAACATAGTATTGTCCATGTCCTATATAGGACATCTATGTGGGTATCCCAGTCTGTCTACACATAGTAACATAGTATTGTCCATGTCCTATATAGGACATCTATGTGGGTATCCCAGTCTGTCTACAC